AAACTTAGATAGAAAGTTAGATAGATAGATAGTGAGAGAGAGAGAGAGAGAGAGAGTGAGAGAGATAGGTACGGATAGATATTCTATTATAATCTACAAAGCTAGTTTTTCTTGTGGGAAACATTTGCACACAACCAATCTATTAAATGAAATCAAAATTTTTAATATTAATTTCTGTGAATTTCGAATAATTTGTGTCTTTAATTTAGAAAATTTCTTGCCTTAAATTAAAAAAACAAACTTGATGACCCTTTGCCCGTGCATGATTTATAAATACAGGTGAGTATTTAAATTGATCTTTTTCTTATCGATTTTTTGTATACTTTTTTTTTTCCAGTTCAACTCCTTATCAATAATCCATCTGTCTAATAGTAGACTTTCTTTCTTTCTTTCTTTCTTTCTTAGTCTGTCCGTACCTGTCTCTCTCTCTACCTATCTATCTCAGTTTGCTCATATCTATCTATCTATCTATCTATCTATCTATCTATCTATCTATCTATCTATCTATGTTTATTCAATAGCTTTCCTTGATTTCTCCAGTGCCGCCTTTTGAATTAATATCTTCAAGTCTTCAGTCAGTTATGTGCCATGTGTGATACACGCCTAGGCGATCATGTATCTTTCGATACATGACTCATGAGTTAGATTTTTTTTCCTGCAGTAGGTTGCCATTTCTTTCTGCGGTAGACCAGTTGCCATCCAAGGCTATAGAACCTGGTTTGTCCAACTATTTACCCATACTGTAGGGTATTCATTTTCACTGACAACTATTGTATCTAAAGTAATTAATATGTTGATACAATAGTTGTCAGTGAAAATGAATATCCTACCGCCCCCTTATTAAAATGACTGGTTTTCTCCATATCCATAGAAGCTAATATTACGAATGTCTATGCTTATAAATCTCCGTAAATTTCAAAATTAGTCAAGAATTACGTACTTAATTTAATTTCTGAAATTTAATTGAAGTTTTTAGCTTCTGTTTTTGAAACATGAGAAATCTTATGTAACGATGGAATCATATTTTTAAAAAAATAATTATAATTATGATATAGGCCCTACTTGTGTATCGAACACTGTTTTTTTTTTTAAATAAAAACAAAAATACTAAAGAACTTTGGATTATTAACCTAACAGTTCTTTCTTTTTTTCTAGATATTTACACACACACACACATATATATATATATATATGTGTGTGTGTGTGTGTGTGTGTGCGTGTGTGTTTATGTGTGTGTTTATGTGTAGGATGAAGATATATCAATTTTTTATATATCAAGAAAGATTTTAAGAGAAAGAAGTATGACAAAGTGATAAAAATTTTTTCGTGTGACGCGTTTCGTTCTTTAGGACTTCATCAGACTAAACTTATGTTTACGTTGAAATGCTAAATTAAAATTTCTTTTTTTTATTTAAATATCTTTTTTAGGTATATAATCCAACCTATTACATTTGCATTGTTTTATTTACATTATTCGGACTATTGTCCTCATCTTTGTTGCCATATTTATCACAACGTTTCGACCGTTGTACGCTCCAGCCTTCTTCAGGTGGTTGGACTGTCGAACCTCCTGAAGAAGGCCGGAGTGTACAACGGCCGAAACGCCGTGATAAATATGGCGACAAAGATGAGGACAATAGTCCGAATAATGTAAATAGTGTACATAATACCTCATCTCAGAAATATAGAAAGATATTGCATTGTTTTTCATCTTGTTTATGTTTCCATCACTTTTGTTATTAAATATCGCACACTGTGATAATAGAAGATCTGCTAAGAAATTTGAAACATTTTAATAACCCTGATGTGAATTTACTGAGGACGATTAAAGCCCTTTCAAAACATTTTCGCCTTAATAAATTATTTTGTTGTTTACTTAGAGTGGCATTTTTAAAATCAAAATTGTGCCCAGTCTCGTTACGGTGAGTAACTAAGGCATTGGATGTGTTGTTTTGTAAATGATTCCTTTTGTGTTCAAATAATCTTTTATTTAAGTTCCTTGAAGTTTCATCGATGTAGTCCTTGTTAATTTATTTTATAATTTAATTATTATTTTTAAATTTAAAATTCCCAGTGCCTCTCGTTCGTACGTATGCGAAGTCGCATCAACGTGAACAAAAATTTAGTCCAATGAATCCCAAAGGACGAAACGCGTCACACGAGAACTTTTTTACTTCATCATATTTCTCTCTCTCTCTATCTATCTATCTATCTATCTATATATATATATATATATATATATATATATATATATATATCAAGCATTTTCCGGTTTTTGATATTCGGATCTGTTGAGATAATTTAGTTTAGGTAGTCAATGCAATTTCCCTGCTACAGTTTTGTTGTTCATTCTGACCTGAAGAAGCGGAAAGAAACTGGCGTCCTCGAAACGTGTAATTCATAGCTTTGCAACTTTGTCGCATCATACACACACACGCGCGCGCACACACACACACACACACATTTATTTCTCTCTCTCTCTCTCTCTCTCTCTCTATATATATATATATATATATATATATATATATATATAAATATATATATCAATTACATATAACTTAAATTCAAAGATTCATTTATGTGATTTATTTATATACGCTCTGCAATAAATACACTTGGATTAATTACCCACGTATTTTAATGACTTTTATATTGCTTTTTTTTTTTCGTGACTTAGCTCGAGCAAAACAAATTCACGGATATAGACGAAAAAAATATGACCCCAAAATGACGTCAAAATATGCACAAATGTTTTTCATTTTTTAATAATAGCTGTGCTTAGTTTAATTTGTAACGTATAGAAATGTAGGTAGAAAAAAAAACACAATTGTCGATATGATATCAAGAGTCACTGTTACGCCCCTTCAATCAGGCCTGCTTCCACACATTTGTCGGTAGGGGGCGAGAATGGTATGCGCCAGCCCTGCATACAGAGTGTGGAAACGATCAAAAACTAAAAAAGTCCTTATGCAAGTGGAATTTATAAACAGGGATCATAACATTCATCTACAGGTTCGGGGTTAATGTACTTTATTAAATTTGTTTGCGAAGATGTATTCTCGCCATTTAAATCATTAACTTCTATATCTGTTTTTTGTATGAATGATTCATGTAATGTAATTTAAACTGGACCTCATACTTGATATATATATATATATATATATATATATATATATATATATATATATGATGTGCAGTTCTAAATGAGAAATCGTAAAGCTGTTCGAAATCCAGTCGAGTTCATTTATGTCCAAGTACGTTTGCAAAAATATGTATCCATCTCTTTGTCTCTCCCGAGCTATTGTTTAAATAGTAGTACACTCAGGGCTGTTTAGCCTTGGTTGGCAACCAGTCTAGGAAAAGGACAACTCTGAATTCAAAACTTGAGGAGCGTTATTTGGAGAGAGACCTTGTGGCAAACTATGTGCACCAGTCCTCTGTATTCGTCTCTTCCAAATAGTGTGGTTGATTCTGCACAAGCCTTCACCCCTATAATCAAATGGTATGTGCGGCTAGTCTGACTGTTCACTTCTGCACTGTTGGGCCCTCATACATAAGAGATGACGGAAGGAGAGTCCATAATATATATGATTAGTCATTTTTTAAGCATGACAATAGGAATAACAGCCTATTGCTATTACTATATAGAAGCTGAATTTTTACGAATAATCATTGACCGCACGTCATCCGTTGATACGACATATTTGTTCGTGTTATTTGATATTAAAAAAGGAAAAAACGCATGAAGAAGTGAATTCAGGTTTTTTTTTTGTGAGGGTTTTTGTGCAAACAGAACATAAAGAGCGTCAGCCGGAATTCGAACTCGGCTCGCCGATTCCATGATGATGATCGTTTCCACACTCTGTATGCAGGGCTGGCGCATACTATTCTCGCCCCCTACCGAGAAATATGTGGAAGCACGCCTGATTGAAGAGTCGGGACAGTGACGATATCTCGATATCATATCGACAATTTTTTTTTCTACCTCCATTTCTATACGTTACAAATTAAACTAAGTACAACTATTAAAGTATGAAAAAAATTTGTGCATATTTTGACGTCATTTTGGGGTCATATTTTTTTCATCCATATCCGTGAATTTGTTTTGCTCGTGCTAAGTCACGAAAAAAAAAATAAGCCATATAAAAGTCATTATTTTTTTTATCCATAATGTTGTATATGTTAAAATATTCAACTTTTTAACAAGAAAAATCTCAAGTTGATGTCAAATATTACCACAAAACATTGTTGATTCATTTAACATTTAACCATCTATTAAGAATATATCTCTACATTTTATTTAGATACATTGTATTTATTTTAATTTTTTCCAGTTGAATTGTTCACCTGTATTGTATATGCGCCATTATTGCACATAATGAGGTTACAATAAAATTTGTATTTTCTATGAATACAACCTTATGAAAATTAAGATGTAGTACAGTGGGTGGGGCCATATCATAGATTCGGGAGGGCACGAAACCCTTGCATCAGCCCTTCCTGCACCTTTTGTTTAGATATATCTCTGTAGATAATTGTTGCATTTGAAGTTTTGTATAGATTTAGCCGACCGCTAGCGAATAAATAATTTCAATTTTGAGCACAGATAATCTATTTGGATACCAGGTGTCTTCGGAATTTCATTTCTATACAAATGACAATACAGATATATGCGCATGCGTGCGTGAAAGACAAATGACGTATATCATCGCCTCTTGGATTCAACTGAAAACAATGACGACCATTGTCATTATTTTCAATGGTTAATTTTTGCTTGAATGCTTCTCCGCGTGTATCTGTTGATTTTATTTACTTTGGATCAAAACCAAGTTCAGTAAGAATCGAACCCAATCCGCCTGGCTTGCAAAACGTAATCGCTTACCAGAGGCCGTTCAGTGCATTCTCATTCTATCTGTATATTTTGAAATTCAGTCGGATAAAGCTAAGATCTATCTATCTATCTATCTATCTATCTATCTATCTATCTATCTATCGTTTACGTTGAAACACCAGTTTCTGTACGATCACCGAAGTTAAGCAACGTCGAGCCTGGTCAGTACCTCGAGAGTTAGCCACTTGGGAATAGCAGATACTGTAAGCTTGGATGTGCGGAAGATGTAATGGATAATGGCTCGGAATTGTTAATCGGAGAGTCGGTTTCGAATTCTCGTTGGATTCCTTATATTCACTTACGAACAGATACCATTGGGAAAGGTATGAATGCATCCCTTCTGCCCCCAGTTATGGGATAATTAGTTAGATTTGTATAACTAAAACCATTATTATCTAAAAAAAAAACTATAACAATCTAATAAAGTTTTCTGACTTTAAATAACCTGAAAAGGGTTGATAAGCCGTAGAAAATTAATCAATCAACAATCTCGCTATCGATGTATCGATGTAAATAAAAATGTTCTATCTCTTCAGGACGGAGGCGATCGTAGCTCACCACAGTTTCCTTTTATTTATTATCTGTGAATTGCAATTCTTTCCTGGGAAGAACAGTGGAGTCGTTTCCATTGATTTATCAATGGTTCAGAATGTCGTTTTAGACTGGTTGCCAGCCAAGGCAACAGAGATAAGTCTATCTTGCTATTTAACACATACCTTCGGTGGATGTTTAGAGAAAATTGATTCATACCATTCCAAAGAACATTAGCATGAAAGTGACCACTGAATACTAGGCCAGAATTTAAACCTGGTGCGTTGATTTCAGTTTTACATACTGTATCAGTGGATTGCTAAAAATGTTCAATTTAACCAAATATGACAGTATAAATTGCAAGTTCAAGGGATCGAAATAAAGTGAGAGGTTTACATGAAAAGCTGACGTATATTTCGTTACATCTCTCTCTCTCTCTCTCTCTCTCTCTATATATATATATATATATATATATATATATATATATATTACATTTAATGAAAAACAGACCACTTTAAGGTACCATTACAATAATTTATTTCACCAAAATCCTTTTTAAAGGACTCCGGATCATCAGGTAACAAAAAAGCATTTTGGTGAAATAAATTATTTAATGGTACTTAAAGTGGTCTGTTTTTCATTAAATATTACTCTGTATTCACATTGAGCTCTCAGGATTTCATCCTCCTTGGAATTACCCATTTGGTTTACCAAGTTCTTCGTAACTTATATATATATATATATATATATATATATATATATATATATATATATATATATATATTAATCATTGTTATTAAAGACTACGGAACTCTTCCGCTTGATGATCTTTTCCTGAGTTTTTTCTTGCTTGCTCGCAGTCGGAGATTCGTCTAAGTTTCTTAATGTTTGTGTCCAGCTTGATAAAGTAGGATCCGAGTCGATAGTTTTTGCCGAGCACTTTCGGTTGTCCTCAACCATCATCATGGCGTTTGTTTTTATTTGGAGATATGTTATTGGTTGTTTTAGTTTTATAGATAATATTAGACGATATATTTGTGTTAGTTCATTACTGGTAAGGGAGGGGTGATGCTTTTTTTTTATTGGAGTTATTAAATATGTTTAATATGTTTCTGCCAGTATATATATATATATATATATATATATATATATATATATATATATATATATATATATATAATAAAAGGCTTAAACACTAATATTCCATGGTCATAATTTATTCCATTGGAATCGTAAATACGATCAATTCATCAGACTTACAAATTCAAAAAAAAAACAGAAAAACAACTCCGGAAATAAAAATTATGAAAGTATGAGGGGGAGGGAGATTAAACCTTAACAGTGAGAATATTAGGAGAGGTGGGTGGAAGGGGTTTAAGTAAGAGAAAAATGATTGTCGGATTTTTTGAACATAAAAATATAGGTCCTTGCTGGATTAGATAATCGTTATATTTATTTTTTATATGTTTATATTTGATTTGTAACCTGTAGTCGATATTAAATTTGTCAAATTTTCTCAATTACAAAGCGGCCCTTTAAGTAAACGCAATTTCACTTTCCTTCGCCCCATCTCTCTCCCCCACCTCGTCTTTCCCTCCCTCTTATTCTAACATTAGATTGTCTATGGTGTGTGTATGTCACCACGAAATGAATCTTTATGCATTAGACATCCGACAATCATTTTTCTCTTACTTAAAACCCTTCCACCCACCTCTCCTAATATTTTCTCTGTTAAGCAATTTTTATATTATTATTTATATATTATATATGCGCGGTACTTATTGGAAAGTACTCAATATCTGTGATAGAGCTGACATATTTAGTTTGCATATATATGAGTGGCGTTCCGACAAAAAATTTTCCTTCCACTTACATAAAAACACCGATATACGCAACAATATATACATCCAAAAGTCAAAAATTAATCAGTTTGTCTGACGATCGCAAATAGCGTGAAACCCTGTGTCACAAAATCACACCAACCATATATATATATATATATATATATATATATATATATATATATATATACATGGCCGGCGTTGTCCGTGCTTAATTCAAAAATTGTACGATTCATACAGCAATCGCTATCACTTGACTTAAAATATTTTTGCCCTTTCTTGCCTTTAAAGGAGTGCCCTTTGCCGTGCTGATGTTGCTACATGCCTTACTTCTTGCCTATCTCACACTGCCAATTTTTTTCTAATCTCTATACTAAACATAAAATCTGTTACGAAAAAAGAACTAAACAAAATGAACACAAAACGATCAGCTTTAAAAAGGACGTAACTGGAAAACCGAATGAAAAAGAATGTTAACAACAAATACTTTTTCACACCCAACCCAGTTCTGCGGAATCAGAATCAACGTTGAGTTTAAGCAAGCGAATGAGCCAATTGAAGTAAAGTGCCATGCAGATTTAAATTTTTCCCACTTGTGACGAATGCAGCTATCGATATTTTTTTTGCATGCTAGCATGCTAGTTAACATTCGTGTCAGTCAGCTGTTGGCTCTCACGCTGGCCAGTAGAATCTTGCTGCCTGTTCGTGGCAGCCAGTTATATGCTCTCACTCTGGCCAGTAGAAAATGGCCGCACACTACATGAAAACTACCATAGAAGCATGAAAAAATCGATTATTTCCACTATCGATGGGAGTTGGGAAATACAAAGTCGGTCTTGGCCTTCCCGCTCACTTGGAGCATGTGCATGTAAATTTTTGTACAAATACGTCGAAAATTGCGGCCGTGCATTCGTTACACACACACACACACACACACACACACACACACACACACACACACACACACATCTTGCCTTTTATAGATAGAGATATATATATAATGTCAGTTACTAAGAAAGTTTGTTCACTGTGTCGGGCGAAACATTTTTCTCTCCATAGTCTATCTTACATATCTATATGTCTACCATTCGGCTATGGTTAAACATATAGTCCAGTCCCCCTGCTATTTACGGTGAGTTCGTTGACAAAACCCGAAGACGAATCAGCAATAATATGAGCCCTGATCTAGCGGCTCCGTTTCAGTCACTTACTCACCTCCGCAAGGGTGGGTGCCTCCCTGTGCCTTTTCTAGAAATACTTTCATGGTAATTGTACCTAGACTTTTTGAATTTAAGCGCAGTACTTGACTAGCGTCGAGATCTTATCAATTTACAGTTGACTAGATGGAACCGTAAATTCTTCTCGCACTTCACGTTTGTGGAACTCCCTTCCGGCTCAATGCTTTCCAGTCAAATTTAATCCGTTTTATGGTAATTTTCCCATACACGCATGGACTCTTTCAGCTATAAATAGGAGCAGGTACTGCCTTTTGGCGAGGGAAGTTTCCAGCAGTCAGCTCTGATAGTCGGACTGAACATTCTTGCTGTAACTCTCTCGTTTGTATATGTTTGCATTACTGTTTCTTTTTATATATTTGTTTAAATCAATTCCTCCCTTCTGTCTTTATTTATGGCCCTAACAAGGCCACAACAATTTGAAAACATTTAAAGGCAATGTCAATTGCTATCTACAGTCTTCCTGATTACTCATTCTTCTTCCTGTTCCTTATTAATGTTTCTGTTCTTAATTCTTCCACATTCTGAAACACCTTAAGTCTTAGAGGCTTTATTGCCTTTCATGGGATGTTACCGATTAATGCATATATATATATATATATATATATATATATATATATATATATATGTATGTGTGTGTGTGTGTGTTTGAGAACCAACCTTCTTTTAAATATGTTTCGTTGAATATGACAGACAAAGAAAATTTAATTAATTTTTTTTTTATTTCGTTTTTCCAGCATTCTGCCATTTTCCCATTTGCTGGGATATTTTACCAACCGCCACACCGAATTCAACGTGGGGTATCCGAGCCCGTAGGCTCGGCCAAAGATTCCCCGTAGACCTCGTATAAAACAGAGTCGGGTAGCTGTTTCCCGAGACGAGACTCTGTCCTTTGACTTAGCCTCCTCTCAGAATCCTCTCTGCCCGGAGGCAGAGAGTCTGACCAGCAAACTGGAGACGAATCTCCGACTGCAGACCAACATACAGTATTTACTATTGTATTTATGCGAATGGGGACATCCATAGGTATGTTACAACAATCGTCCTCTTTTTCTGTTCTGAATCCTGTTTGTTTTATTGGTCTTTCTCCTCACTAAAGTCTTTGTCACTAAAGTCTTCTGGTTCTGTTTCTCTTACAGTTAACCCCCTTGCGTCCTAGTGGCATTATCGCCTTGAGTTGGGTGGAAAGATTAAAAAATAGAAAAAAAAAAAAAATAAATAAATAAAAGATTTGATCTTTGGATATTTGGTCAGGTTTGGGAATTTTGGTTGAGCTGAGAACTTTGAATCCTTCCCTTTTACATTGAAGAGTTCTCAGTATGGGGGTGACCTATATGCAAACATTATTCACGGGTGATTTTCAAACCCTATTGCCCATAGCATGTCAACCGGGGCGAAGCGGGAGAATGTGGACCAGTGTGATTAGAGTATGACACGCCCTTTAAATTCGCAGCGTGTGCTTATTTTCACTGCTTGCACGTGCATCCCAGGTGTCAGGGGGGGGTGTCATAAATTCCACGAGTGTGGAATTCTAAAATAGAGTAATAAAAAAAAAAAAGAAAAAAGACATTAAACGTCGTCTAATAACGAAGGCGGGTGAA